CGTCGGAGTACAGGGAGCTCCGTTACATTGGTGGCAGTGGTGGGATGGCGTCCTAGTGCGAGGAGAAGCAGCTCGGAGACACTGGTATCGTATGAGAGGTTATTGAGGGCAACGCTAGCCACTGTGCAGCGTCCCTAACTACAGCAGCATGGAGCAGGAATGGATAGAGCCCTGCGAAGAGCACCTCAACAGGATACGTCGCTACGAGGACGACGCTTACATTGAGGAGGTAAAGAGGCGGTTGGTCTGCTATGGCCCAGACCTTTCGAACGAGGTGGTCCACCAAGTAATGCGCCAGTTGAGTGCTGAGAACAGTGCGGCAATGGCCTTTGAGCGACAACTGTGGAGGTTGAGGATATGGACACCTAGTCTCCAGCGGCAGTGCAAGTTACAGAGAGCTGAAGGTGTCGTCCTTCCTCCCCAGCGGCAGTGCAAGTTACAGGGAGCCGAAGGTGTCGTCCTTCCTCCCCAGCGGCAGTGCAAGTTACAGGGAGCCGAAGGTGTCGTCCTTCCTCCCCAGCGGCAGTGCGAATTCCAGGGAGCCAAAGGTGTCGTCCTTCCTCCCCAGCAGCAGTGTGTCCTACAGGGAGCAGAGACAGTTGGTCTCTCTCTCCAGCAGCAGGACAATGTTATGGGAGTGGAGACAGGCGGTCTCCCTCTCCAGCGGCAGCCTGTGTTTCAGGGAGAGGAACACAGCACCCTATCTCCCCAGCGGCAGCTTACCCTACCAAGGGGAGACACCAATCTCCCAGATGGCGCAGAGGGGACCGTGGTCTCTGTGCCCAACCTACAGGGATGCTGGACAGCCTGTCCAGATCCCCAACTACCCTCACATGGACAACAGGAGGAGGGGGTAAGTACGAATTCCCCTCCCCAGCTAACTCCTAACTTGGCCCCAGGGTTAACAGGGGAGATGTTAACCCCCACTGACCCCCACGTTCCCCTGGCTACTGAGCCGGACTATGTCCCAAGCACCCCAGCGGAAGAGCTGGCAGCTGGGCAGAGTGCAGTCGGCCTCTGCACTCCCTTTGTCCCCTGTCCAGAGCCTGATGTCCTGCAGGCTATACCAGCCGCTGGCCTCTGCCCTACCGATCCCCTTGTCACAGGACTGGCCTGCACCCCCCTCCTCCCAGCAGAAGCGCTGGCATCAGGGCAGAGCGCCGCTGGCCTCTGCCCCTCAAGTCCCCACAGTGTGTTGCCCCATCACCCCAGAGGAATACCCAGGTGCAGTCACTGTTTGCTGTGGGTGGGCTGCTCTAATAACTGTTTGTTGTGGGTGGGCTACTCTGGCACTTGCTTATGGTCGGTGGGTGACTCGACTAACTTAGGCACTGACCGACAGAAAGTCAGGTGCCTGGTTAGTCTTCCCCCCGAAGGGGAGATATGTGACGAAGTGCCCTTCGCCACTTGGTCCTGGAGAGGCCTACTTGCCAGTCTCCTCCCCTGTGACTGTGACTCTTTCATCTATCTGGCTTTAAAGCCCCTGGTCTACCTTCAGACAGACTATTTGTGTGGGCTGCTTTGTTTATCCTATGTTTTAGTCACCCTATATCCATTATAGGTGCAGGGTGTGTGTAATGTAATTGTTTGTAGTGTGTGTGTGTGTACTGTGTAATGTATTGCCTGCTCTCTTGTATTGCTGAGGTTTGCTACCAACTAGGTGGGTTTGGCTATGGAGCTGGTATAGTGCCCTCTGTTGGTAGCAACAGCAATATGCACTACCTGAATTGCAAGACTGGTTCATTTGCATATTCGGGTAGATTTGCATATTGCTAATTCTGCAGGCAGGTGAGATATTTACTGTTGAATATTGTCTCCCCCCACCCCTTTGGAAATGTGCCATTGTGTTGTGATGGGTCACTGTGTGTTTCTTGATATGGTTTGACTGTTTGTGATTTTATTGAGGTTTCACAACAATGTTATTGTGGTGACTGTATTGGCTGGTCCCAAGGGAATAAAGGTTTGGACAGTTCTTCTTGATCCCTCTAAACGTAGCTTTGTCTCATTATTGGAGGGAGCTGTTATAATCATACTGGGGATTGCTATGCTCTGAATGCTCCCCTGAGCTTGAGTCACTTAGCTCTTTTAAGAGCTTGTTCCTGACACGCTCTCCTTGGAGCTTGTTCCTGACACGCTCTTCACCACACAGTCCTGGATGCTGGAGGTTCATACAGGGTGGAAGGAAGAGTTCTTTCCCACACGGTCCTGGAGGACAGAAGCTGATCCAGGGTGGAAGGAAGACGACGAGACTCCAGTCAAGATACGGCGGTTGCGGAGTCTGCGGTGGTTGTGGTGTCTGCTGCAGTGCTTGGAGTCCTCAGGAAGCGCTAGGAGCATCCGTCAACGGAGTGTACTCGGTCGGAGTACAGGGAGCTCCGTTACAATGTGTAATTCATTTCGTTCTGAATGTACATTTGGACGAATTTCGTGCAATTCGGACATTCGGATGCTTACGAATGTCTGAAGCTTAGAAGTGCCGAAGTTCGGTAGTTCCAAAGTGCTGAAGTTCGGTAGTTCCAAAGTGCCGAACCGAATTGCAGAAGTTCCAAATTGCCGAAGTGCCAAAGTTCCCAAATTGCTTCAGATTTCTGAAAACTGGCAAAACAAGAGAGAGGGAGGGAAAATTATGTGAATGGTGACAGCAATCTTGACCAATAAGCCCTATAGGTGTGTAAGTGGTAAGTCTTGACTACTGCAAGTGGATTGCAGAAGTAATTAATCAATTTGCAAATGTCAAACAAATACAAAAAAATGCAATCCACTCACCCTTTTAGTGAAGTTCAGAAAGGCAATCTGGATGAATACCAAAGGATTGTCCAATGAGAGGGAGGTCTTTTCCAGTTCCTAGTTGGCAGCTAGAGGTCCCGCAGAGATAAGGGGTAATC